CATGTTGATTGGTCAGTTTGAATGTCTTTAGTCACATGGTCAAGAAATATACAAAATAGTCGGTAAACTCGAGCTCTGTCTCTTTTCCTGCCCTCTCTTTTCCTGGCCTGCTTCTCTCTTGCTCTGCTCCTCTCCTCTGGAGTCTATCTTCTCTGACTCTACTGCAATCAGGCTTTTGGGCCTGCTCTCTTTGTCTCTCTCTCTCCCTCCCTCTGTGTCTCCTTTTACCTCTGGTAACTTTAATTTTACATTTAAGCTGGGTACAATTTATACCATACGTTTTATCATTTCATATTTTATCATTTTATACAGTATTTTGTTATTAATTCAGTTGTAACCATAGAGAATTATTGTCATTAAATCATCTCATTTTCAGGTATTTGTGAATTACTTTTGATTTAACATCAACATTTAATTGTTCCATATTGCAATACAATACAATCACATAATATCAACCCTCTCCCACATTTATAGCTATTAATACTCCCCTTATTTCTGTTTTTGGTATAAGAGTGCAGAAGAATGGTTTGACTAGAAATGTTCAGTTTTTTACCATCATGCTGATCACTTTTAAGTCACTCGGCAGAACTACAGTTCGAACCGCTGGGGTTTAAAGACCGTTCTTACAGATTAAAGATCTCTTATGAATAGATATGAGCATTTGATAACAGTCTTTCCAAATTAAACCAGTTTTTAGAGCAAGCAAAAAAAGATACCGTCAGTCCTTAAGTGAAACACATGAAACATCGGTTTCAGCAAAACAGTTCATCAAGGGTTGGCCATGGAATCAGAGGGTAAGTGGATTAAAGAAAGTCTGCAGATATGAAGATGGATTGTCCCTTTTTTGTCCAGGTCCTGTTTTGAGGTCTTAAAGTGCATACAAAAACCCTTTGCATATAAACAAACATACAATCAACACCACACAAAACACATATACAAAACTGAAATATATACAAATAACAGGCTGTAAGAATTGAAATATTACAAATATTCTGATATCTTTGACAATTCAAAACATGAGCTGAAGACAGGGCCAATGGACTCCACAACCCACCAGGGGGGAATGCGTGAAAAACCAGTTCCTGCTGCATTTGCATCTGACTATGCTGAGACTCAGCTTCATCCCCCCAACTCACGCATATGGTCATTTCAATGTTTGAATGTTTTAGATTAACCAAACTGACTTTAACTATCATGTTTGATATCATTTGAAATGTCTCAGTGCGATTGGTACAATGGTCTCATTCTCTCAGAAATAGATATAATCAACACAATAAATATATAACTTCAGGCATCTTTTGAACCACTGTGAAGGGTGTGACTTTTTACACACACACCCCCTTCCTTGAGGGAATTCTTGGATTATTTAAGGCAAGGTTTGAGGAAAAACTCAGCGCGATTCTGCCTACCCAGATCAGCCCATAACATGGAGCTTAGGCTCCATGTTATGTAAAATTCACACGTTATGTATATTTCAAAGTCAGGAATGCATCTTTTTCATCTTGGATTTATCTTTGATAATTTGATGTTTTGTATTAATCGTTTATGAATTGACTGATTGAATTGGCATAATACATTTACCTGACTAATAAATTGTTATGTTTTGAATTATTCAAACCTCGTGTTATCACTGATAAATGTTGTTGTCCATAGCACTACAAGCCACTGTACAGGTTAGTAACGGACTAAAACATGTTAGACGGAGCAGCGTGGCACGCTAAACAATGTTGTTAGAGATCCGACTAGCAAATTGGCATTATTTCATGTATACGTAGACTGCAAAAGACCAACTATTTAGAACAACAAAATATTGTTGAAACTACTTTAAATGTGGATATTTAGGCCTTCATCTACAAATTTATAATCCTGTGCGATTATTATTAAAATACTTTGTCTTGATTAAGTAGATAACAGATCTATGGGGACCACATAAAAATCTCCTAAATTAAGTAAGTAGGGTTCTGCCTTTCTAGGAAAGTGGTTAATCGCCTCTGTTTAATGACCAAGACTGACAAGCTTGTATTAAGAGATTGTATACCCGGCCGGTGCAAGACTCGAGATGCTATCGGAATCTGAGTAAATGAGAATAAGGTATAATAACAAATCAAAAGAATATTCAATCATAATCTAAAATAATGTGAAAGGAAACAAAATAATCTTCTCAATGTTTTATAATTGGAGTCAGATAAAACGAGGATAAACATATTAATATTCTAAACCATCTTATACTAAAATTGGAGTCAAATATGAGTTAAGTTTAATATAAATCAACATTGTGCACTGGAAAGACCGAACATGCACCATTGGATACCGTCATTGGACCAACTGGCTGGACCCTACAAGGCCTACTTCCATCTGAGTTTAAGAACAAAAATGATCCTCAAATGAGAGCACCAACAACAGACAGCAAAGTGAAAAAGCCATTCCATGTGCTGAGCACAATACTTCCTGTCTATTGCTTCTTCTCTACCTCCATTTACGCAGGTTGAGGACTCGATACCTAGATTGCCCCCTAATGGTTGAGCTAGTTACTACAGGTAGAAACATACTCAAATAGTGACAGGAAAAACTGTTACACAGCAATGAACGTGTGTGTGCAGGGCCGGCGCGTCCATAGAGGTTATGTCCGCAGCACCTCCCTCACCACCCGCGTCCTCAGATATATTTGCGCATAGACGCAAGAATAGAGAGGGCGGCGTCAGCGACACCTCCATCAGCACCCGCATGTCCTCAGTTATATCCGCGCATAGGGCGGCAGAATAGAGGTGTCCGTGACACCTCCCTCCCTCCCTCAGCACCCGTGCATCCTCAGTTATATCCGCGCATAGGGCGGCAGAATAGAGGTCCGCAACACCTCACTTCATTTTCAGAACCGGTCACTTTCGTTTTCACATTGGGGTTGAGGGCGGCGTGATTGTCCTCTGCCTAGAGCGGCAGTTCAGCTTGCTCCGGCCCTTGTGTGTGTGTGTGCTGTTACTACGATGATATGTACTCCATATCTAATAGGCTTTTTCTGTACAGCTAACACAAATTTAGCAAATACATTCTTTATAAGCTTCCAATTGAAACAAAACTAGCTGCAATGGCTGCTTGAGGGTTGTATCTTTAAACTGATGTCCAGTTTGTCATGTATTCTTGCTGGTGTAATTTATTCATAAACATTGACATGTTGAAAAACACCCCAGTACGTCCGCGTCATGGTGCTGGCCAAGAGGTTTGACAGAGTGTGTCTGCTTCCCGAACTGTGCTACGAAGGCTGATCCAGAGTTTAGGTGCCAGATATGAGTAACATCTACCACCTACAGTTAATTTTGATATTCTGGAAATAATCAGTTGTCTAGAATGAATTGAGCGTAGAGGACGTGCAGGGCTATAATACACCAGGAGCTCCCTCAAATACACTGTAAAAATAATACCCTATATCTACTCAATAAAATAGAGATAACAGATTAATAGCAATTAATTATTTACATTAGCTTATTTAAAGTTAGTCATTTAAAATGAGTAACTACAAACTGTAGTTTAGTAATTTGCAGATATTAAATAAAAATATTAATTTAATTGAACAGAAAAACCCACAAAATGTCAATAAAAACTACTCAATGCTTTTATTTAACTTTAACAAATTTTGTGGAGCCTGTTTATCAGCTCTAAATATAATATGCTATCTACACAATAATATTAAGGTAACAGATTACAAGCAATGTTATTAATTAAATTCAACAAGTATGGATTGAGTAAAAAATTATAAAATTTAGCTCAAATTAGTGTGGAGCCACAAAACAGATTAACAACAATCTCATATTAGACAATACGTCATATATTCATTCATTCATTTTCTTGTCAGCTTAGTCCCTTTATTAATCCAGGGTCGCCACAGCGGAATGAACCGCCAACTTATCCAGTAAGTTTTTACGCAGCGGATGCCCTTCCAGCCGCAACCCATCTCTGGGAAACATCTACACACACAATCACACACACACTCATACACTAAGAACAATTTAGCCTACCCAATTCACCTGTACCGCATGTCTATGGACTGTGTGGGAACTGGAGCACCGGGAGGAAACCCACGCGAACGCAGGGAGAACATGCAAACTCCACACAGAAACGCCAACTGAGCCGAGGTTCATACCAGCGACCTTTTTACTGTGAGGCGACAGCACTACCTACTGCACCACTGCCTCGCCCACAGTACGTCATATAATACACACTAAAAAGTGTACAATTAAACACAGATAATCTTAACAATGTCTTCGATGTTTTTTAAACAGCATAGTTTCAAACAACTGGACATCAAACAAAAAACAATATTGTTTAAAAACAATAAACTTAAAGAATTGGGCATTTCAACACTTAATTTACCAATAAATCTGTTTGGATGAGACCACGACAACTTCACAACGCGGGCATTCTGCATTGCCTGGTGAAGGGAGCCAGGCGTTGTTTGCGAGTCGAGTCGGCTCGGTTCTAGGAGTCAGCTCCCTTCAGTGAATTATAAGAGGCAGATTCAATCCGAAACTGATTGCCTTTTTTGTATAATAATGTAAAATAAAACAACATGATTGATTAAATTTCATTTTGCTTAGCCACACGCATTTTAAGGTACTAGATGTGGTGCACTAAATGCATGTTGATTATAATATTAGCTTATAAGTATAAGCTTTTAAACACGTGTGATCTGATGCCCCAACAAACAGTTCAATCCAAAAACGATAAAATCTGATTCAATCTAACACAAGTACTGAGCAGAACCAGTGCAAATTGTATCATGAAATAAAGTTTTAACAGATGTTTGTGCGAGAGTGCTGGGGAGCTAAGCCGGCTTGGTAGGTAGTCAATAAAATGTTTTAATGTATACAATATTTAATAGGGAGCCAATGCAGTAATTGTTAGACTTGTTCAAATCTTTATTTGAGCTGAGGTTGAACATTCAATGTGGGAAGGTTGAACACTGCATACATGCTGCAATATTTTTTAAACAACTTTTACTCGTACACTCTAAAAACTAAATTGTATTGTAATTAAAGACATGCAAGAGATATATTAAATGTTTGATGCACACAATCACTTTTTAAACTAATCAACTGTAAAGATATCCCAAAAACACAGCAGTAAGAAGTTCACAAACCACCAGAAAAACAAGAAGTCACTGCACAAGACTTGTTTACTTTAATCTTTTAAGTGTTCAGTATGCACAAGTCACAATATTGAACTGTTATTTTTAGTTTCCAGTTGACTGAAATTTCACTCAACTGTCTTTGTTAAATGTTTTAAACCACTTTCCAGTAGAGAATAACATTTGAATGTGTTAACTTACAGAATTTTTAATTATACAGTTGAAATAAACACATTAAATTATATAAAAAAACAGTCCAATAAAGCATTTATTATATGCATATATATATATTTATTATATGCATATATTTTTTAACAAACATATACAAGTCTTTTATTCTCAGTAGTTAGTGCAGATGAAGTTGAGTCTGTGAGATTCAGGAAGGCTGATCCAGGTCTGATTTCCTCCAGACTGAACTGCTCCTTTTCTGTTCTCCAGTTTGCAGTTTTCCGGTGTGCTGCCGTTCCCTGGAGCCCAGTTCTGATAGCACACCATGTCTCCACTCAGCCAGAGCCACATGTTCATGCTGCAGTAGTTGTGTTAACCCAACCACACCGCCTCAGTAGATGCCAGTTTAACCACGTTCATCACACGACGCTGCATCTCCACTGACTGAACCGAGACCAGATCCACATGATTCTGTCTGCAGTATCTCAGAGCTTCAGACCACGACAGATTCTGCTGGATCACAATCAGTTTATCTGGACACAAAACAAAGCAGAAACTAGAGAGAGACTGATCAACAACAACATGCAGAACAAACACTGTGGAGGAATTTGTCATGTCAGACATGTAGAGTCAACTTTAACACTTTCACTGCCATTGACAATATTGTACGGGAAGCCCTAATGCAGTTACAGGACTTCAGAGTCTCTTGGAAGTGAAAAATAAATCAGAGAAAGTGAAAGTCAGGTTGCGTGTAAAAATTAGTTATACAAGCTTCCTTTGGCTTATTTACAGCTTCATCAGTTACCACAGTGAAATGATCCACCCTGTTGATTTGCATGAGGTTAGAAATGTGAAAGAGTTTACACACACACATGCACATGCTCACTAAAACACATTTATGCATGTGTATTATACTTCTTAAAAATGTACTCCCTTTTCTTAGTTTTTGTCAGAAAATGTTGCATTTTTGATTAAACTACCTGCATTCAATTGGGGGAATTTTTTTTTTTTTTAAACAGACTCTTGGTGCTTTATTGTTATATATGATCGTATATTCCTATGAGAAAAATTCCAGAGAAAAAAAACTCATCATAAATGCTGGCAATCTTTTTAAAAACACTGGCATGGAAAGAGTCAAGAGATCTGGAGCTGATGATGGATTGAGTGTGTTTGGGGATCTGCTCACCTTCATGACACACAAAAGAAAACTGACGGTCACAAGAGAGGTCTGCCCAATGGCCCTGAGTGTTCTCTAATAGCACTGTACAGTTTTCATTCCCTCCGTAATTATTTGGGTCTCCAGTATTCCAGTAACTGAATGAATAGTTGCTCTGATCTGACCACTGCCATGAGTCTCTGAACAGACCGATCCAGACTGCAGATCCAGATGAGTTTCTGTCATTAATGAACTTCTCCAGCTGTTGATTCTCATTCTGGTTCTTCACAGTGACCAGATCAATGTGATTCTGTCTGCAGTAACTCTGAGCAGCTCTCCAGTTCATCTTCTGATTGACAAACACCAGTCCTCTGCTGGCTTAAATTAAAAATTAAACAAATGAATGATACCATGATTCATCCCTACTATGCTTTATAGTTAAAATGTGAACAGGAACAACGATGAAATCATCATGTCTGTTACTAAAACAATGGGTTGATATAGTCAACAATATTTCTATAAGATACAAAGTGGAATTGACTTGAAAAGTTGCATTTACACTTAATTTACAAAAATTATACGCTCATATTTACATCTCCTTTGAAATCTGTGTTAAATGACAGTTTTTTATAAGCGTTTGTACTCACTGTTGTAGCATACGAAGAAACAGGAGTCACTACATGCTCCATCATACCACTCTCCATTTCTCATAAAAGCACACTCATCTCTGCCATCTGGTTGTTGATTTGCCCAGTTCAAAAAGAGTGCAGGATCACCTGAAGACCACTGCCATTTCCTCTGCAGACCAATCCAGAGACGTACATTATTCACACTCTTCATCAGCTGAATTGTGTCATTCATGTTGTCAACAGTGGCCAGATCTGTGTATTTCTCTCTGCAGTATCTCTGAGCTTCAGTCCAGGTCTTCTCATTTATAAAGTGATACTGACGCTGAACACATTCAGATATGGAGCAGAGAGCTGTGAAAGAGACACTTTGCTTTAATGCTATTCAGAACAGAGTCAAACCTAATGAAACTATAAACCATAAATAAAACTACAAACACACTCACCAATGAGGAGAAGAGGGAAATATAGAGTTTGAGCCATTTCTGAGGAAGAAACACATTGAGATGAAAAATAACTCTGATATTCATTTCTAAGTAAAACATGACTGTGCATTAAAAATCATCAGAAAAAAAAATCACAATCATGAGTGTAATTGTAAAATTTCTGAATATTTTTGATTCAAGAAAGATTGTCTGTTGATCTTACTTCAGAGCTGGTGTGTTTCTGTCCTCAGTCTGATGTTTCTGTCTGCAGCGTCAGACCATGTGATTATTCTATATCTGCTATAATCCATTATTCAGCTCGTCACATCATTTGCTTATTACTCAAACAAAGGCCTTGTTCAGTTTTTTCCACATTCAGCTGCATTTGCATATTGTTTCTGTATTTCCTTGGAAATATACTAATTTGAATGAAATAGGAAGTCCAGTGTCTGTTTTTTTATTATAATATTAGATAACCTTTTAAAATCCAAACTATTTTAAGTAATAAACAAGTCAACCTACTCATTTGGCAATTTAAATGTTTGAAATAACATCATCAACAGGTGATTTGGTGTAAAATATTTCTACACACTGTAAAGAAATCATATAAATATTTATGTTAGTTAATAATATTACTGAAATTAATTGAAAACTGAATAAATATAGATTTACACACACACACACACACACACACACACACACACACACACACACACACCAGTGAATAAACAGAATCAATGAAAATCTAAATGCTAAAAATCTGCAGAAATCAGCACACGCAGATTCTGTGTGGGCCTAGTTAAAAGCCATTATACTTATATATAAGGTGATAATTTAGATTAGGGCTGCACAATTAATCAAAAAAGATCAGGATCTCGATTCGACCATACACACAATCTTAATTCAGCTTTTCTACGATTCAGCCAATTATATTTCAAGGTCAGGGGAGAAGGGTAAAGGCAGACGCACAAGTCTTCACAGCAACATAGACACCTTCAAATGGTGTTAAAAGTGTCACATACTGTATTCATAAGGTATAATTCACCCAGAAATGGCATTTCTGTCTTCAAGTAATGATGTATTCTCAGCCGCAAAATCACATGTAAGCTGACCCCCAGCTGTTTGTTTACTTCTAAGAACGCGCACGTGCACTCATAACGCCTACTTCAGTGAACAGAAGCTGCAAAGGCTGTGAATAACAGGTAATGAAGTTGTAAATAACGTTCAGTTTGATGCACAGAGTGATCATTTGAGGGCCGAGCAGGACGTTTGATTTGCATGTGTGTGTTTTCTCACAGTGATGGCAGCCATGAGCCGCACTCAGAAGTGAAAGCGAAACCTGTGCACATCATTTAAATGATCATATCACATTTGATATGTTTTTTCTTTCATAGCGAACACAAAGTGTTGTGCATGAAAATAAATGTTTACTGTGTCAGTATAATAATCCTAGCCTATATATAATGTTGAAAATAATGCAAGAAGAAATCTGATAATTACAAAATTGTTCCATTTTGCTCAGCCACACGCATTTTGTGGTACTAGATATAGTACACTAAATGCATGTTGATTATAATATAAGCTTATAAGCTTTTGAACATGTGTGATCCGATGCCCCAAGAAACAGTTCAATCCAAAAACGACAAAATCTGATTCAATCTAACACGAGTACTGAACAGAACCAGTGCAAATTGTATCATGAAATAAAGTTTTAACAGTTGTTTGTGCGAGAGTGCTGTGGAGCTAAGCCGGCTTGGTAGGTAGTCAATAAAATGTTTTAATGTATACAATATTTAATAGGGAGCCAATGCAGTAATTGTTAGACTTGTTCAAATCTTTATTTGAGCTGAGGTTGAACATTCAATGTGGGAAGGTTGAACACTGCATACATGCTGCAATATTTTTTAAACAACTTTTACTCGTACACTCTAAAAACTAAATTGTATTGTAATTAAAGACATGCAAGAGATATATTAAATGTTTGATGCACACAATCAATTTTTAAACTAATCAACTGTAAAGATATGCCAAAAACACAGCAGTGAGAAGTTCACAAACCACCAGAAAAACAAGAAATCACTGCACAAGACTTGTTTACTTTAATCTTTTAAGTGTTCAGTATGCACACGTCACAATATCGAACTGTTATTTTTAGTTTCCAATTGACTGAAATTTTACTCAACTGTCTTTGTTAAATGTTTTAAACCACTTTCAAGTAGAGAATAACATTTGAATGTGTTAACTTACAGACTTTTTAATTATACAGTTGAAATAAACACAATTTACTATAAAAACAGCATAAGAGCATTGATTATTTTAAACAAACATATAAAAATCTTTCACTCTCAGTAGTTAGTGCAGATGAAGTTGAGTCTGTGAGATTCAGGAAGGCTGATCCAGGTCTGATCTCCTCCAGACTGAACTGCTCCTTTTCTGTTCTCCAGTTTGCAGTTTTCCGGTGTGCTGCCGTTCCCTGGAGCCCAGTTCTGATAGCACACCATGTCTCCACTCAGCCAGAGCCACATGTTCATGCTGCAGTAGTTGTGTAAACCCAACCACACCGCCTCAGTAGACGCCAATTTAACCATGTTCATCACACGACGCTGCATCTCCACTGACTGAACCGAGACCAGATCCACATGATTCTGTCTGCAGTATTTCAGAGCTTCAGACCACGACAGATTCTGCTGGATCACAATCAGTTTATCTGGACACAAAACAAAGCAGAAACTAGAGAGAGACTGATCAACAACAACATGCAGAACAAACACTGTGGAGAAATCTGACATGTCAGACATGTAGAGTCAACTTTAACACTTTCACTGCCATTGACAATATTGTACGGGACGCCCTAATGCAGTTACAGGACTTCAGAGTCTCTTGGAAGTGAAAAATAAATTAGAGAAAGTGAAAGTCAGGTTGCATGTAAAAATTAGTTATACAAGCTTCCTTTGGCTTATTTACAGCTTCATCAGAGCTAACCACAGTGAAATGATCCACCCTGTTGATTTGCATGAGGTTAGAAATGTGAAAGAGTTTACACACACACATGCACATGCTCACTAAAACACATTTATGCGTGTGTATTATACTTTTTGAAAATGTACTCCCTTTTCTTAGTTTTTGTCAGAAAATGTTGCATTTTTGATTAAACTACCTGCATTCATTTGGGGGAAACATTTTTTTTTTTTTTTAAACAGACTCTTGGTGCTTTATTGTTATATATGATCGTATATTCCTTTCAGAAAAATTCCAGAGGAAAAAGGAAAACTGAAAAGGAAAAGGAAAACTGACGGTCGCAAGAGAGGTCTCCCCAGTGTCCCCGAGTGTTCTCTATTAGCACTGTACAGTTTTCATTATTTGCATAATTATTTGGTTCACCTGGATTCCAGTAACTGAATGAATAGTTGCTCTGATCTGACCACTGCCATGAGTCTCTGAACAGACCGATCCAGACTTCAGATTCAGATGTATGACTGTCATTAATGAACTTCTCCAGCTGTTGACTCTCATTCTGGTTCCTCACACTGACCAGATCAGTGTGATTCTGTCTGCAGTAACTCTGAGCAGCTGTCCAGTTCATCGTCTGATTGACAAACACCAGTCCTCTGCTCACTTGAATAAAAAAAATAATAATGATACCATGATTCAGCCCTTCTATGCTTAGGTTAAAATGTGAACAGGAACAGCAACGAAATCATCATGCATGTCTGTGTTACTAAAATATATATTACACACACACACACACACACACACAACAGAACATCTGTCATAAATATGAATCAATATATTGTGCTATTAAAGATAACAAATAATTCAAAAGGAGTAGCTGGTTTATATAATGAAAAATACAAAGTGGATTTGACTTGTAGTTACATTTACACTTAATTTACACAAGTTTTACAGTCATATTTATATCCGAATAAACCTTTGTTAAATGACAGTTTTTTTTATAAGCATTTGTACTCACTGTTGTAGCATACGAAGAACAAGGTGTAACTACAATTCCAATCATGCCACTCTCCATTTCTCATAAAAGCACACTCATCTTTGCCATCTGGTTGTTGATTTGCCCAGTTCAAAAAGAGTGCAGGACCACCTGAAGACCACTGCCATTTCCTCTGCAGACCAATCCAGAGATGTACATCACTCACACTCTTCATCAGCTGGATCGTATCATTCATGTTGTCAACAGTGGCCAGATCTGTGTATTTCTCTCTGCAGTATCTCTGAGCTTCAGTCCAGGTCTTGTTCTCATTTATAAAGTGATACTGACGCTGAACACATTCAGATATGGAGCAGAGAGCTGTGAAAGAGACACTTTGCTTTAATGCTTTTCAGAACAGAGTCAAACCTAATGAAACTATAAACCATCAATAAAACTACAAACACACTCACCAATGAGGAGAAGAGGGAAATATAGAGATTGAGCCATTTCTGAGGAAGAAACACATTGAGATGAAAAATAACTCTGATATTCATTTCTAAGTAAAACATGACTGTGCATTAAAAATCATCAGAAAAAAAAAATCACAATCATGAGTGTAATTGTAATATTTCTGAATATTTTTGATTCAAGAATGATTGTCTGTTGATCTTACTTCAGAGCTGGTGTGTTTCTGTCCTCAGTCTGATGTTTCTGTCTGCAGATTCAGACTGTGATTATTCTATATCTGCTCTCATCCATTATTCAGCTCGTCACATCATTTGCTTATTACTCAAAAAAGGCCTTGTTCAGTTTTTTTCCACATTCAGCTGCATTTGCATATTGTTTCTGTACTTCCTTGAAAATATACTAATTTGAATGAAATAGTAAGTCCAGTGTCTGTTTTTTATTATAATATTAGATGACCTTTTAAAATGCAAACTATTTTAAGTAATAAACAAGTCAACCTACTCGTATGACGATTTAAATGTTTGAAATAACATCATTAACAGGTGATTTGGTGTGACATTTTTCTTTTTTTATGAAAATGTACGTTACTGCAAAGATTTTGAGGTAATTCAAATTAATCAGTTAAAAGTAAAGACAGAATCTGCAGACACTTTCTGCGCAGAATATTGTTGAAAATCTGTGGATTTATGCAAATGATTTTGGGAGTATCATAACTAAAACCTTAATATTTTTTAAAAAAGTGATACCTTATTAACTTTCATTTAAAGTTTACAATGCAAATCCAATTAAATCCATTTTACTCGGTAAACAAAGCAAATCTCTCAAATAATATTTGCTACTAAAAGACAGAAAATATTATTCTACACACTGTAAAGAAATCATATAAATATTTATGTTAGTTAATAATATTACTGAAATTAATTGAAAACTGAATAAATATAGATTTACATACACACACACACACACACACACACCAGTAAATAAACAGAATCAATGAAAATCTAAATGCTAAAAATCTGCAGATATCAGCACACGCAGATTCTGTGTGGGCCTAGTTAAAAGCCATTATACTTATATATAAGGTGATAATTTAGATTAGGGCTGCACAATTAATCAAAAAAGATCAGGATCTCGATTCGACCATACACACAATCTTAATTCAGCTTTTCTACGATTCAGCCAATTATATTTCAAGGTCAGGGGAGAAGGGTAAAGGCAGACGCACAAGTCTTCACAGCAACATAGACACCTTCAAATGGTGTTAAAAGTGTCACATACTGTATTCATAAGGTATAATTCACCCAGAAATGGCATTTCTGTCTTCAAGTAATGATGTATTCTCAGCCGCAAAATCACATGTAAGCTGACCCCCAGCTGTTTGTTTACTTCTAAGAACGCGCACGTGCACTCATAACGCCTACTTCAGTTAACAGAAGCTGCAAAGGCTGTGAATAACAGGTAATGAAGTTGTAAATAACGTTCAGTTTGATGAACAGGGTGATCATTTGAGAGCCGTGCAGGAGGTTTGATTTGCATGTGTGTGTGTTTTCTCACAGTTATGGCAGCCATGAGCCGCACTCGGAAGTAAAAGTGAACCGGTGTGCACATCATTTAAATGATCATATCACATTGGACAGTTATGATTAAGACAAGCAGTGCATGAAAATAAATGTTTACTGTGTCAGTATAATAACCCTAGCCTATATATAATGTTGAATATGATGCAAGAAGAAATCTGATAATGACAAAATTCAAATTTTACCAGTGAAAACAAATGATTAATAATGTTGTCAATAACAGATGTAAGCACATGTCCTAAACATAATAAATCAACTTTATAATTATGAATATTTTTATTCTGATGTGGTCATTTTACTGTAAATTAACAAACAGGATATCTTGAAAGTCTGTTCAAGTCCACCATAATTACTGTACAAAATGTTGGATTTTAAGCAACAGTAGAGCAACACACAGGCCTAATATTATTAGTGTTGTTTTACCATATGTTTGAGAATTAACAATAATAATAGGCTAATCATATTAACCTTTATTTTACATCTACAGAATCGTGAGAAAATCCTGATCATGGTTTTAAGCAAAATAAATCATGATTTACATTTTTGCCAGAATCATGCAGCCTACGGTTATCTTGTCCTCAATTTAACAAAAAAAAAAAAAAGAAATCAGCAAATCTGCAGGTCTGACTTTTTCTGACTTTGCTTCCATTTTTCAAGCTAGCTAATAAGAATACTTCATATGGATAAGCCTAGTGTACAACATATTGGACCTGCTGATTTCTGGCAATCACTGACTTAAAACAAAATATAACATGATGTATTCTTTATGCACGAGCAAGCATTTGGGTGGTCTACTTGAAGAATATTAATTTACAGTTACATCCTCTGACTAAGACCCAGAGGTTGTGTCCCTGAGCATATGTAGATGGCCAGCATAATACTCTAATGGTGCTTTCACACTAGCACTTTTGGTCTGCACCCGGGTTCATTTGATGTCAGAGTTCGGTACGTCGGGTGAGCACCCAATAACCATACACGGGTCCGCCTGAAAGAGGTGGTCTGGGTTAGGGTTCACGTGAACTCTAATTCACTTCTGATGAGAATGCAATCGTACCAGGTAACGGATGTGAACCGCCAGCTGTACAACAAACTATCGTTTTCATAACATTCATTCATGTGTGTGTGTGTGTGTGTGTATCATGTATTGTACCTTGGTGACAAGCGGGACTGAGCCAGGGCAAACACAGTGATAATGTCTGCTTGTCTTCTCCAAGAACAGTTTCTGCAGATGCTGCGTGATGTTCTGAACATTTATAATATATTTTTGCTGCAGACTGATGCGAGTCGCTTTCCGTATGTCCAAAACCAAATGATTCAGTAAAAGCAGAACAACCGCGATGTGTGTACATCTTTCCATTTTGGGGCTGTTTTCGTGTCCATCAGTTAGCAATAGCCGTACACACAACGGCAACTCGATGCAAGTGTAGCAGGTTTCAGAAGAAATAAAGACAGCATGAACACAAACCAACCGAGAAGGTTGCAAGGGGGGACAATCGAACTTGGGTGGGTCAAGGCAAATGGACCAAGTGTGAAAGCACCCAAAGTGACTCCAGGTAAACGATGAACAATTAAATGAAAGGATGTGATGCTATAAATGGTCAATTATATACATTTGTTCATTATAGATGAGTGTAATCCATTACTAATTAGAAACAAGGTCTACATTTAATGATCACATGGAATTGGAAGCAGATTACATTTGGAAATGGAAACATTAAATTCATTCATTCAGTTGCTTCGGCTTAGTTCCTTTATTCATCTGGGGGAGCCCCAACGAAATGAACTGCCAACTTATCCAGTATATGTTTTACGCAGCAAATTTCCTTTTAGCTGCAACCCAGTACTGGGAAAAATCATTATACACTGATTTATACTCATACCCTACAGCCAATTTAATTCATCCAATTAACCTATAGCGCATGTGATTGGACTGTGGGGGAAACTGAAGCACCCGGAGAAAACTCACAAAAACACTGGGAGAACATGCAAACTCCACAGAGAAATGCCAACTAGCCCAGCCGAGACTTGAACCAGCAACCTTCTTGCTGTGAGGCAACAGTGCTAACCACTGAGCCACCGTGTCACCTTTACGGTAAATTCTAATAAATAAAATCTTCATAGACTGCGCACAACATGTCTGAAGAGCGAGAAGGGGTCCGAGGGTGAGAAGGGTGCGAGACTTATTTGAGGAGAGAGGGAGACGCGCAATTTCCGGGAGATTGTCACTCGTTTGTGGGCATTATGAGTCACACAAATGCACATGTAACGGGCCAGCTAGTAAGTGCTGTGCAGGTACACCTCACTCCTCTGACCTCTAAAGGTGCTCTAGCGATGGATGCTGGAGGCCATGGTCTTTGGCCTCCTTGTTAGAGCATTCGACTCTCATGCGGAAGGTCGCCGGTTCGATTCCAGTGTGTGGTCACATGATGTGTGCTTTCAGCTCCTAAGTGTGTATTTTTTGCGAGCAGGTTTGCGACGGGGGTGAGGCGGAGATCAGCGATGCTGGCTCAGCATCGTGTTGTATTTTCATGTTGTTTATTTATATATACTTGATACAACCTTTAAAGATCTTTACTGTTTACCATTTGTATGTTGTTTGCTTCCTGTCTTTAACCTTATATGATATTGCACTACTGTGATTGTTTGCCTCCTGTTTTGAACTCTCTCCTTTAATTTGTTTGTCTGTCTCAGCTGTTTTTATCTCTGCCTGTTAACCATAATATCACAGATATTGTGTACAGTTCCCTTGAACCGGGCCGAAGCACACTTGACCCCACTCCTGTCTCCCGCAATGCCCCGCACTCACATCGTATTTTTGCTTGAGCATGCTTACGTCATCGATGATGCACTGTTCAGTAAGAAGCGCTCTCGCTTAGCACAGTGGAGATTTCTTTAGTTATATCGTTTAAGTTGTTTGATATGCGGTGACACGCAGTCAGATATTTGGCTGAACAGATCCGCCACTTTTGACGCTCATAAACAATCATAAAGTCCTCGTGCTGCAGGAATTAGGAGGTTTGCTGAAGGTGCAGCTGTTGTGCAGTAAGGGGTATAAGTCTTTAATAAACTACAACAGTTAGCATTCATTGAACAGTAAGAATGATTAATAAATCCATATCAAACAGTCTCTTAAAAGTCACGTCTCATCTTCAGCTTTAGGCTCAGGTGCACTTTGCACTCACTAAGCACAAATGAACCACGCCCAGGGCCGGAGCAAGCTGAACTGCCGCTCTAGGCAGAGAACAATCACGCCGCCCTCAACCCCAATGTGAAAACGAATGTGACCGATTATGAAAATGAAGTGAGGTGTTGCGGACCTCTATTCTGCCGCCCTATGCACGGATATAACTGAGGATGCGCGGGTGCTGAGGGAGGGAGGTGTCGCGGACACCGCGCTCTCTAGTCTGCCGCCCTATGTGTTGATATAACCAAGGACGCGCGGGTGTCGCGGACCTCTATTCTGCAACCCTATGCGCGGATATAACTGAGGACACGCGGGTGCTGATGGAGGTGTTGCTGACGCCGCCCTCTCTATGCGTTTATGCGCGAATATATCTGAGGACGTGGATGGTGAGGGAGGTGCCGCGGACATAACTGAGGACGCGGGTGGTAAGGGAGGTGTCGCGGATGCCGCCCTCTCTATACTGCCGC